GGGGGGGGTTTAAAAAAAAAATCAAGACGGTGGCCACGACTCCACCACTGAGGCCTTGCCCCTTTTTAAGTGCATTGCAAAAGGGAGTGGGGCTTTGACCACATGGCTGCAGCTGCCATCTTGACTCTTTTGAACACTTGAATCCCCAAGATTTAGATCCTACCTTTGGGTTAGTGGCTAACTAACTATAAAAGTGGCTAACAACTTTTATATACATGTAGTTTAAAACACCAAATCAATTCTAAAATGAATTAACAATTAAACGCCTGCTGAAAGACATTTGTCTTTACTGTTCTGTTCTAAATGCTATGGAAACTGAGGACAAGCTCAACTCCAGAATGAGTGAGTCCTTTCTTACATGCCAGATAAATCAGCCTCTGGTAGGTAGTATGGCACCTAAAGGGCCTCTTTTGCTGATCTTAAAAGCCAAGCCCAGGCAGGTACACAATAACAGCAGTGCCCCCTCAGACAATCAGGGCGTAAGCTGTCCAGGCTTTATGATCAGTACTTGACAAGTTACTGATAACCAGGGAAGATCTTTCAATACAGGCACTGTAGGATCACCTTAATCAAGGGGAAATCCCTTAGAGCTGGGTAAACTGAAGTGAAGGCTTACCATTTGGACATTAACTTTCATGCACCTTATGATACAGATGGGGTTTAACTTTAGTAATCTTAACACGCTCCAGCTGATGCCACCTGTGTTATATTGCTGTAATCCTCAAAAATTGAGGGCAATTGCTTCCATTTTTCATTTCCTTTTCTCCTTTAATGAATCAGGTCTGAGCCCCAATATGAGACTGACTTTACTCCATTGCCCCTGAATACATTTCACTATCAATGCTATAATCTCTTTGATGGTAATGGCCAAAAATGTACCAGTAGCCCCTAGCCAAAGAGGTCTCTTATACAGGGAACCCCTTCTGTATATGCAGGCATTTTTTCTCCCTCTGTGGCAGAGTATTGGAGCAGATTTGCACAGAAGCCTTCTGTAGGGCACCATACTGATCTTTACACTTGCCATATAGATTGGTGTTAATTTGGGTTAGATTTAGTTTTGTATCAAGTTAATTTAAAAAACCCCCCACCAAATTACAAAATATTGTTTTAAAAAATTTAAAAACCAAATTATTTCAAGCAGAGAAGCAAGTCAATTACAATAATATTCCAATTAAAATTGGACATCCATGAACATCAAAGTTCACCATCTAAACCTTTCTAAAGGAAAATTTGTGATACCTTTGCAAAATAAAATTGTAGTTGTATTGGAATAAAGCACAGGAAAGGGATGTGAAAATTGTAGATCCTTCTTTGAATCATAGATGAAATCAGTTTAAAGGCAGAATACGGAAAATACCAAAGGAAAAATAATATTACCATAGGTATCTAGCAAATCACCCCCCCCACCCTCAAATTGGACATTCCCTCATTAAAACAACATTAAAATGGTATAAATTATCCTTTGTAGCCTTGAAAGCAGTGCCAGTTTGCATGGAACGGAGTTTTCTAAACATCTCACTTTGGACTCTAAAGAAATCAATCCTTCCCCCAAGCTCTCTTGGGGGCATTAAATGCTTGGCAGCCCTTTCCATTTTGGGGGGAGGGGTTGAAATTTGATTTGAAGAGACCTAGCTAAATGGGTACAGAAGTTCCACACCAACAAACAAGCTTCATCACGAGAGGGCTGAATAAAACTATTGCCCCTCCCCCCCAATTCTTTGCTCCAGGTCTCAATGCATACCATTTGGCTGGGGATTGGGGGTTACAAGAATGTGGTCTCCAGTTGCTTCCCGCTCCCTGACCCAACTACCCAGTTAAAGTTAGCAATGGCCAAAGACAGCAGGCATTCTAGAGAGATTAGCAAGCAAGGCAGATTGGGGAGCAATTAAACTCAGTGAAAACAGCAAGCCCACCCCTTGTCCTTGCTCAGCCCGTAGGATTTGGAGTTGTGAACAAGCCAATACAGGAAAAGAAGAGGGCTTGGTAAGTCTTAACAGCCCTCTCATGATGGAATCAAATGCTTAGTTACAAGTCTCTAAATTGCCTGTGTAAGGCAACGATTTAATTCCTCCCTTTAGTGGGATAGACAGACAGTGGACGGGTGGAAAAACGTGGAGCTTGTCATGAGTGGACACTAAAGAAAAGGGTTAACATTTCTCACAAAACTTGACCCAGAGTTTGCAGAAGGTAACAAATGCTGAAAATTATATCCAGGTTGAAGGTGTGTCTGGAACAAATAAAGTTTTGGACAGAATTGTAATCTTTTCTCCTTGGGGTAAATGATCACTAATTTAGGTCCCAAACTGCACTTCAAAAAAAAATTTTTTTTCACACTACTGAATAGCCCAATTTAGGTATTATGCCATGCTGTGACTGATACTATTGAGAGTTAAGAATCCAATTGTGGCTTCAGCCTATAAACATCCAGGCAGACTATGTTTTCCACGGCAGCTTTTCACCGTCTTTTTCCATTCCTGCAGCTTTCTTAAGTTCATCAGGCCGGTTCTGGAGTTGGGTAATGCCTATGATTTGCCAATTCAGATATCACATCAAATCCTGTTTGTACAAACCACCGTTTGCAAGCATATTACTGTGCATGGTTTTGGATCCTGGTGTGCTGACCAACTACAAACAATGGTTCTGTCAGTTCAGATGTCATGCCCAACTGTGGCTTAGCATCCCTCATGGTTTGGTGTTATGACTGGTGAGAAGCAACTGGGAATTATTATTTCTCCAGGTTCCTTGTATATATCATTGTCACAGCATTCACATTCAGTGGGAAGAAAGGCAAAGGAGGACTAGTGATCCTATCTGGTGCTGGATTCACCCATCGTAACCAACTCTGGACTTTTACAATTATAGAAATACAGAATTTCCCCCCTCCTATTCCAGATTCATGAATGAGCCATGCAGCTGCCTAGTAGTTGAAAAAAACATTGATTTTAGATATGACCAGACCACCTCCAGAGATCCAATGCTGACACAGATTCTTATGCCCTGATCTTGAATTCTTCATCATTTAAGAGGTTTGTAGGATTCAAAATATCTGTGTTCTGGACTGGGGTGTCTCTGAGAATAATACTTCATTCATCACAAACCTAGTAGTTGCAGATGGAGTTCACTGCCCTAGCAGCTGGGAAGCTAACAGAAGAGGAAATATGACATTGTTAACCCAGTGCAAACAACTGAGAAATGTCTTTTTTTTTTCTCTTTTAAACAAAATATCCACCCAACAGCTCCTCGGGCTTAAAATCTTTCATAGCTTGGCAGCTTCTCTGCTGCTCCAAGAGTCCTGGCCTCTGTGTGAACTATATGGGTTTGTTTGGTGGGCCCTTCCCAAAGGGGAGGCACATCAGAGTAGGTAATGGAAAGCTGCAGCCACACAGAAGGGCTTTTCCCTGGTCCTGCCTCCTCCAAGGGCCTCCCCTACCTGATCCTCTGGCTGCTGCCACCGCTGCTGCCGCTACTGGTCCGTAGGCCGCTGCTGGAAAACCTGGCCATGGGGAAAAATAAAGAGCGTAAGAGGAAAGAGGCAACAAAAAGCTGGTATAATAATGGCTGCAACCTAAGAGATGAGGGTGTGTAGTTTGGGAGGTGCCTGTTGATGCAATTGAGTGGGTATGTTTGACTCATATTTGAGTTTTAAGAGAGTGGTAATTTGGGACTTCTTAAGAGTCAAAGCGTTTCAAAGAGGATATACATCTCTGCAAAGGAGGCCAATTGCTACCAATTGCTACCATCAGCCTACAAGGGAGAAAGATCTTTCAGAATGTCAGTGTTTTGTTTGCTTATTTCTTGTTATGGGCAAAAGCAATACAGGCCTGATCATCTTGGCTGCAGAGATGAGAGGCTGATGGAAAAATTTTCTGACCTAAATCAAATTTTGCCAAAGGATGCTGGTGGCATTTGTGAAGTTCAAAAAGGCTGAGCTGGAAGAGACTCCCCAACTTCTCCTCCACATGAATCTGCCAGCAACCCCAACATAGGTCCTTCTTCCCTTTCCTTGTCTTGAAAAAAAACTCCTTCCTTTTTACTTTGCTACTTCTGAAAGTCATTAAGAAGACTAGGAAAGAGGGAATATGCAGAGGGGGCACCAGGAATAGTTTCTTGGGAAGGAGAGGACAAGTAGGCAATATTTTTTCTGATCAGACTCTGAAAGAAATTACTTTCATTCTCCTAATTTCTTCTGAAAGAATTCAGGTAACATAACCAGAGACATGCTTCAAAGAGTTCACTCATCTCAGATTCTGATTGCCAGTTTGGGTTGTGAAGTCAAAAAAAAGGGGACACTTCACAGTCAGTGAATAAACTGTTATTTGTCATGTAAATAACTGTCTGGGGGACTATAGGTGAAAGTAACAAAGAAAGAGAAAATAGAAAAACAGAGAGCCAAAGAACTACAAGTACTCTAATTCTAGATCTACCCGCATAGCTACATATATTACTATCAGGAAAAACTGCACAGAAATCAACAGGCTTTAAAGTATATCTAAACTACTGAAAAAGATCAATTAAGAGAGACATACTTGCATTTAAATATGGTAATAGGGCTGTTGGGGGGGAAAAAAATTTCTATGTAAATAAGTACAGAACTACCTCTAGCTATCCTGGGATGTTATCCATGCACCACCCTGTAGAACATTGGCTTAAAGACAGCTAACCCCATCTTATGAAATATAGATGTTAAATGACATTTGTTTCAATAATAGCAGCAACTGATTTCTGAGTTTGGAAGGCCTGAATGAGAAAAAGAAACCGTTGGCAGGATTTTGGTTCAAGATTAGGCATACCATATAGGGGCTGCACAAATACCAATGGCCACAAATACCAGTGGCAGCACAGAGAGGAGACGTTTAAGTAATATCCTTTTTGTTGCCATCTAGTGGCCATTTGGAATTTTGTACCCCAGCTGCTAAGAGCAGTGGACACTCCAAATATTTTCAGCATGTCAGCCCTGATATAAAATTCTGGGAATTGCAACTTCCACACATCTGAAGGGCACCATGTTGGAAAAGGCTGTTTTATCCAATGCACTACATTTCCTTATGATATTAGGCACTGCATCTGGACAAGATATTAGCAGTCATCGCAAGCAACAGAAGAAATGGAGAAAAATGATAACAGGAGTAAAAAAAAGGATTAAGTGCTCACTGGGATAAGTATAATGAAAGGCAGCATTTTTATCTATTTCACATATTGTTTTCTAAACTGAATGATGGCAAGATTTTGGAAAGATTTTGCCAGGTTCCACTGGGGATCACTCCTACTGGTTCTATAGACAGTTTTCTGCATGCTTGTATTTCTAACTTCATGCATTCTCCCAATGCTATCAGTAATTACTGTAACACAGAATATTTTAAATACATGGAGTAAAAAGATGTTTTATATGGCTTAGTATGCAGAATTTAATAATGATAAATTCATTACTAATTATTCATTTCATAAGCAAACATACGTGAATGGAATACCCAAAGAAATTAAAAAACATAGTAGTGCAAATAAAACCTTATTCGCAGTTACTAAAATAAGGACCAGGCATTATCAAAGAATCACATAATTAGAACAGAATTGTGATGGAAGGCATGAGCGGGGAGGATCCTGGGGTGGAGCTTCAAGGTTACAGGGAGGGGGAGTGACATTCCAAGCATCTCCTCGGCCCCCAGCTGGACTGTGTGAAAGTAAGGACGAAGAGGCTGGCCCCTCCCTAAGGGCTTGATGGTTATAGTTGCACTTGTTGGGGAATTAGAGTTAGTCTGGCGAGATTCTGTCTATGAGGTGCAAGCTAATAAAGAAGCTGAGCTGATTTCCGGACTCTCTCGTGTGATTCTTGGGCTGAACCTGATAAGAATGTTACTATTACAATATTATTTGGGATGAAACTGGAGTGCAGGAATGCTGCAAGGTGAGTTTTAGAGATTTGTATGGGAAAGATAGCAGAGTGTTGCAGAGTGGAATTGGAATAGATGCTGTCCAAGAATAAAAATATAAAGTCATAAATGCTGCGTGAATGTTGAATGACAGTAAGGCTGCAGGTGTAGACAGAGTAACTGAAGAAATGGTAAAGTATTGATGTGGTTTGTTTATGGAGTGGCTCGGCAAATTGTTTAAAATATGTGTGATGGCTGTATGTGTACCTGATTATTGTAAGATTAATGATATTGTTCCCTTACACAAAGGAAAAGCTAGTAAGAATGAATGAAAAACAAAACAAAACTGGAAGGTATGCTGTTAAGTGTGCTTGGGAAACTATTTAGCAGAATTCTGACTGCAAGGTAGGCGAGCTGACAATGGAAAGGCAGGGTGCCTTTTATGTCGAGCATGACGTATGCAAACCAAATATTTGCTTTTCAGCAAGTAATTGAGAAATGTATGAATGTGAGAAATAATGTTTACCATGTATTTGTTGATATGCAGATAGTGTTTGATGAAGTGAAGAGGCTTGAATGGTTTTGTGCAAATTGGAGTTGAAGGTTGGCTGCTGAATGTGATAAGAGTTGTATATGAAGGAAGTAAAGCATCCATGAGAATAAATAGAGTGCCTAGTGAATCGTTAATATTGAGTATGAAATAAGACAAGGATGTGTAAATACCCCTTTGTGGTTTAATGTATTTATGGGTATATAAAGGAAAACTGTTAAAGTAAAACATAAATATTATATTTAGTCCTGTCCCACCTATGTTTTGAAATGTGATACCCAACATGATATTTAAAGATAAAAAAAAATATGTTGCACATCCCTGCTTTAAGTCATCAGTGTGCCCTTTAGAAAATCATGGCTCCCATCTAGATACCTCATTTACAAATTCTGTAGAAGAGCACAGACATGGTTATCTCTAAGGAAGGATAAAATCTTCTACAGCACAGGATCTTATTTTGAGAATAAAAGAATCTAACTGCAACTGTCAGAGATGCAGTTCTGGGATTATGCTTTAAAGTGTGTGCTGCTGATCCATTCCAGCTGTTTGCCTTCCAAGAATGAGAAGAACACCTGCAGGCCATCCTCAGGATGACTTTGGAAGCTTCTTTTTATCACAACAGATTTTATGACCCTCACTGTTAGAAGACATGCTTCAAAGCATGCCTAGATCTGATTGCCTACTGCTGCTTCGATGGTTCAGGTGCTAGGTTTTATAGAAAGTAAGTACTGAGTCTGATTCATGGCACATTCCCTAGTCCAATGGATCAAGGAATGAAGCTACTCTGTCTTGCCACGATAATTATGAAGTTGTTTCCCAAATCAATTTAAAGTCAGCATTCAGGAGTTCGTTTCTATTTCAGAAAACAAATTCATCTGCAAACCCCACACAGTTACATCAAGGTTATCACAAACATCTCTATCTAGTGCTGTGTTCTACCCAAACCAAACTCAACTGAACCCAACCAACCTCAACCCCATCACTCATAAGGCACAGCCTCTTCCATGCAAGAAGTTCAGGGACAGAAGGAGGTCAGCTGGCCACAGGACTGATAGCACTAGTTAAACACCTGTAGCTGATGATGCATATATTTCATGCTGAGGATGCCTTTCAATGACTAGGGTGCCAGTTTTCTTATAATTAAAAATGTTGCATCTTGTTTTTGGGAAAATGCATCTTGTGTCATGGAAAACTACCATTCTGAAAAAAGTGATCAGCTGGCAGACTAGAACACCTTCCAAAGAAGAAACAGATAACATGTTTCCAGCTTTTCATTTTTGAAAAAAGAGGTTAGGAGAGGTTATGACAGATTTTAAAAAAATATACAGTACATACTGGGGGAAAATAGATATTCTTTTGCCTCTCTCATAATCCTAAAACATGGTGTCACCAGGTGAAATTGATCATGCCTGGACAGGTATGATGAACCCTCCTCAGCATCTGTTCCTGCTCCAGAAAAAGTCCCCTTTGTGGCCAAGCTGTTGTGATTTTTTCCCTTAATTTTAATGTGCCAACAACACAACTTTAAAAATTTCAAGACCTGGCCAAACATCAGACAGGTGATCCAGGTCATTATGTTTTTTGTCCTAATCACATAGAAAGAGGGAGGGGTCAATATCTGGCCAATTTTAATGGCAGCACCAAATGGTATTACTCTGATGAGTGCCCAAAGTTTCCCCTGGTTGGCTCTTTCTAGAACATATCTTAGATGCTTTACTCAGCAAGAGTAATTCCCACTGTCAACACTTGGCTGGGAAGAGGTGGAACAGATTGCTAGGAGGTAGAACTCCACTCCCCTTTGGCATGCTCCTTTGCTGCTAAGAAATGGACTCCCTGTTTTCTTCTATGTATTCTGGGCATTTCCATGTTTACTTCTAGCCTAGCCTTTCGAAAAATAGGAGGCACAACCAAAATATGCCACAGTTCAGAATGATTGCTGTGGAAAATTTAAAAACACTAGGATACCAACTTAACCACTGCATTACCCAATTGTTGAAACACTCCTCCATCAAAAGGCTCCTTCAAGCTCTTTCATGTGGCTCACGCTTCTAATTGTCTAGAGAAAAACAAGCCAGA